TTTCTACTCGGTTCAATGGAGATTCTATATCCAATGCTAACGAAACCTTCAAAATTAGAAATTCCATGCATCGCATGGACCAACACTAGTAATTATAAAATTGTCTTTCTTCTGCACGCTGAAATTAACATTATTACTGACAGATTAATGTTTACAAAAAGAAAAGGTCAATATTGTAATGCATTGAAGTTCCATAATTATTCTATCAGATCACTTGGACAAATTAAATATCAATCTAATTAATTAAGCAAAAGGAAAAAGAAGCACGTAAATATGAATCAGCATCTCCATGCCGAAGCAGCCAGAATGGCTCTATCCTGCCAACCCAAAAGCAAGCAACCCTTGTCTTCTGTTAATCTATATCCATCGCAAGAATACAATCCCAATAATATTTTTGATTGAGTCACTGCATTTTCACTCAGTGGTACCCCTTCGAATCCCTTTCCTTCCATCAGTTTCCTCCATTTTTCGAGCCTTTCATGCCTCATTACTCTCTCTGGACCCTCACATGCCACAATGTTCCAAATCTCGGGCGCGAATATGTGTTGCTCCACCTTCGCTCTCTGCACGGAATCCGGTGGGAAGGTTGCATCCAATGAATCGAAGATTGCCGAATAACAGTGCAACGCCTCTAGGAATCGGCCCAAGAAGTAAGGCCCGTTGTGGCTTGCTTCTTGTTCAACTATGGTGACTATATTTGGTGCTTGATCCCTGATCAAGGCTAAAAGATTTCCAAGAGCGTGTCCGGGAACGCGATGGAGCCTGTTAACTGAGTTAACAGCCAGAGCCTCACCAACCCTTCTGTTGAACATATGTGGTTTTAGGTCTTCAAGTTGCTCACCAACAGGATGGAATTCAAATGGAACGTGGAGGGAGTGAGCTAGTTCGGTTAAACATCTACCGGTTTCTCTCACTGCCTCGGGGGTGGGTCCAACTCCAGTGATACGGAGAAACGGGGCACCGCCAGGCCTGGCAGCTAGGGCTTGAATGAAGGCAGGCCATTGGTACCCCTGGAGGATATCGAGATCGATGACATGGACACGCTCTTCAGCCTCAAATGCTTCAAATATTGCTTGATTTGCAGTGAAATGGGCAAATTTAATGTAGGGACAAGCTTGATACAGAATCTGATATATCTTAAGGATTTCTATGGAGTTGGGGGGAAAAGGATTGAAGGGTTTTGGATTGGACGTGCTAGGTTTATTGGTTAGGATTGAAGCGAGTCTTCCATTTAAGGCTTCGGTAAAGCAAGCTGCAACACGTTGCATGGAGTCACCGAGGGTCGAAACCACTCGGTTCAGAATGTGTAGATACCTCCTAGCTAACATATACTCCTCCTTGGATACTGCTTCGGCACAAGCAAGAAGTAGGTGCACAAGTTGTAGCCCACTGTCTTGTTCCTTTACGATAATAACATGGAAAAAGTTAGTTAAAGAATTATGAATCTATGATTTGAGGTGAAGTTTTTTAGTAAACTAATTTTTTACCTGCTCAGGTCCAATAGAAATAGGCACTATTAAGTTTTGTAAATTTTGTAGCTGATTTTGTTGCTGTTGCTGTTGCAGTTGCAGTTGCAGTTGTTGTTGAGTTCTTTGTGATGGCAGTGCTTGTTCTTGCTGCTGTCGCTGATGCTCTTCATGCTGCCTTTCGTCTCGTAATTGTTGTGATAATGGTACAGGTGGAATAGATCCTGCCTGATAAATGTCATTGGCACTAGTCGCCTGTGAACTTCCGTGGACGGTTGTGTCGTTCACTACGGATCCACAAAATCTAGTCGAGTTTGGCAGTGTTAAGCAGTCTAACAAATCTGGAAAGCCTGTAAGTGCATCAAAGCAATCAGAAGAAGTTTCTCCTTCGGCAATCTTCATAGGGGAGAATACAACGAAGTCATCATCCTTTTCATAGTTACTGTCATCTAGTAGGCTCTCTAGAGCAGGCAGTGAAAGGCTCTCCACCTGCATGAATTGATTGTTTGGAGAGTTGAAAACCCTGTGGAGAGGGCTCAGTCCCTTGCCTTTCTGCAAATTGGTGCTATGAGGTCCGAGAGGAGACGATATGCGAGGAGGAGACCACCCCATAAAACTCGACCCATGTATTGCATGAGCATAGTTGGAATTAATGTTGTGAAAGTTGGTTGCCTGTGGTGAGTTTATGTTCCTCACTGGAGAGGAAATCATGAAATCACCTTCCAATTGATCAGAGAAAATAGAGTCCCACATTGAATAATCAGGGGATTGAATTTCAACATCCCCATCCACTTCAAATTTGAGTGCTGGAATACTCAAACTTGTGGGAGTCAAGCTGGTTAAGCTTGTTCCTGGGGTCAAACTAGTTAGGCTTGTAGCTGGGGTTAAACTATTTAGGCTAGTTTGTGTCAAGCTACTGGGAGTCTCAAAGTCAGACAATGAAGAATTCTTCAACTCGGAAACAGACTCATTTGGTGATATGGGTTCTTGTTTTGTGTAAGAATTGTCACTCTTTAGACTCCCAACTGAAATTTTCAAGTTGCCCATCTCAGTCTTTATGCTGCAACCAGTCTCAGTATTGAGACTTCTCATGGTTCCACAAAGTGTGTTAAGCATACTAGTACAATATAATAAAAGCATTTTGGAGATGGAAAGTAGTAGTCATATTGTTTGGTCCCAAGGACAATTATTAAAGCTGTGAATCGTGGTTCCTTCTCTTTTTAAGGCAAAAGTTTTTGGCCTCTTGTGCATATTGTCCAATGAGAAGAAAGAAAAAAGGGGATGTGGGGACAACTACCATTTCTGATTTCTAATAGTTGGAGATTAGTGAATTGAGCACCTCACCTCTATAGTTTCACCTCATCTCCAAGGATGGATTTGAGATTCATAAATTTGGCTTATTCAATACCTGTGTTTAACTGTATCTATGTACGCTTCCAGTAAATAAATAGCCATACAGCATTCCTCAACGGGGTTTGTCTTCGTGTACATAATTTTATGTGCACGTGAGGGTGTACAACATTATTTCCTTTTGGCCGGCCTTGGGGAAACAACATTATTTGATTCCCCTCTCAAGGAAAAAAAAAAGCATTCACTATTTTCAAATGACTTCGGAAGGATAAGAAGAATTAAGATCAAATGGGGAAAAATAGAAGCAATATCTGTTTAATCTTTTTTTGTTATGGTAGTAAAAAGAAGTTAGAATATTGTCTAATGTATTAATCAAATAAAACGTTAAACTTGATTGTTTGGTACTACTAAAGAAAAAGAGAGAAAGGGTAATGCTTGATTTAATTAAGTAGCTAACACTATATTATTATATTGACAATGCTAAAATGTTTTCAAGTTCAAATCCTAATATTTTGAGCTGTTTGGGAGAGAGTTAAAAGAATTAATTATTAGAAAGAGGAATGAGATATTTTGAAGGGTGAAGACAAGTAGGAAATGGTATGAATGATCGTCGGGGGCGCCGCCTAAGCTTTGGATTTGCCAAAGGATCGAAGCCTTTGTCTTTCTCAATCGGCTTGTCCTCGCTCTCTCTCAACTTTTTTCTTTATTAAATATTAATTTATTTTTTCCCACGATACAGTAACATTCAAGAAATTTTTAGTTCGACTGATCAAGCATGTAATTATTGCAAAATTAGAAAGAGTATGATTTGATTGGTTGTATTACGAGAAGACAAGTATATGTATTGTAATGAACAATTTAGTCCCCTCTCTCTATGAAATAATCAAGGGTATACGGATTTAAGGAATATTTGATTTGGATAAGATGACGTAAACAGAAAGAAATAGTTTTAAGGATAAAAAATAATGCACTTATTGTAAAGTTCCTCTTATTTCTGAGAGATAGGATACTTACATGAATAATATTATTTATCTTCCTAATCAATAATATATGACAGCGAGTCGTTATCACATTATACAGTAAAAACAGGATGTAGTTTTATTCATTGGTAAGTAGTTGTTATCACATTTTTATCGAAACGAGAATTAATTTAGACTTTATATTACTATATAATAAATGTATCCAGAAATGCATTATAAGATCTAAGTCACGAGAGAGTGGGTCAGAGCTACGATTAAATAATAATTGGAGCAAAACAAGAAGATTGAGAATTTGTTACAATCGTAACGCCAAAATCTGTCAGCTTCTAATGTGTCCTATTAATTGGCAAGTTACAACTTGGATTAATCCTTCAACAAGGAACTTTGTGCAATGTCATACTAATCTATTCGTATTGAAAACAACTCCTCCAGAACATACCGTAGCTGCTTGGATTTCTCCTTCAACAAGGCTATACTAATTATTTAGTATTTATACAACACTGGCTCAATTTTTTGAATATAAAATATTATTAAATTTGTATAGCCATGTGCCAAGGTACCAAAAAGCCTTTTGCTGTGAGCAAAAAAAAGTTCGAC